CTGCTTTCTATTTTGTATAAAGATTTTAAAAAGGTGTTTAGAGTACATCGTTAATTTCTGTGCCATTAATACATTTTCTCTGCTACTGAATTACGAGCAGGCAAAACACATTTAATAGTACTGAGCTGCTCTCCTTTAAAAGTCAGCGTTGCATGACCTAAGGCAAAAGTGACACAAGGTGGTGGGCAGCATTAGAGTGCCTGGGTCAATAAGAAACATTTCAAGGAAGACAAAAGAGAAGAAAGAAATAAAGAGAAAGCTCTAAGTTGTTCTTGTGTATGTGTTGTGACTGAAATTAAAAAAAAGAAAAATGTCATGTTCAATTCATAGGACTCATAATTATCTTAGCTTTTTTCCTAATAATGCTTTAAACATTGCTGTCTTACATTTTGTATGGGGTAAAGATCCTTGATTCTTTAGCTCCCTAATTCTGATGGGTTTAAAAAATGTAAAGAAATGATAAACTCACCATACTCCTGTAGTGACTTGCATGAGACATCTAAGTGGGTGGAGCCAAATGGGTTTCTGACAAATCTACGCCTCCGTCGCAAGTCATCTTCCCAGTAGTCCAGACGCCAGAAGTCATGCAGCTGTCTATGACAGAGACAAAAAGACAGGCAGTTCAGACAGCGCACACACCCCTCAGTGAGGTTCTAATTACAGCAGCCACCTCCTTATCAGGGGAAGCCATCCTAGTGAAAAAAATCAGGTCACAGATAGCCGATTTGTTAGGCTGACTGGTGGCATACTCTGCAGAGGCCCAGTAATGTTAGCACTGCTAAAGCCTATAGCATCAGAACAGCAGGGAGCAGCAGCAGCCGCTGCACACATAAATCACAGGCACTCCCATTAACAAATACAGCATCAAATTACAAGTATAAATGGCGCAGCTTGCTTCCTTTTTACAATGTTTTTAACAAGTCTTGTAAATCAAAGGTAGAAACCTCAACGCAGACAGCGTGGGGTTTAATGATAGGGGTCTTGGGGCGGTTGAGGCATGAGCCTATAAAACAAGCCTTCTCCCTGCATATGTGGAAGCATGATTAAAATAATGTGCTGAAATATTCATTGAAATGATGCCCAGAGCCCCGGAGCAAGCCGACAGAAAATTGCATTTTTATTCATTATTAATAACAGCGAATTAGGGCCGTAAAAAAAGGAGAAAAAGAAGAAAACAGTTCCAGCATGTGGTAACCATCTCTGTGAATGATTATTCCAACATTAGTGAGGACCTGGGATAATTTTATTGCTTGCAGCTAATGCAAACCATTAAGTACCAGGACTAGCATTAGGTTACTAAGTGCTGCTTGTGCACTAGCTGGAGCTATTTCAAGGTCTTTATGTTTCTTTAGAGGGAAATGCAGCAAAAAAAAAAGTCTTGCTTTAATTTATCCTTAATAGGAAGGAGTAATACATAAAAATTAGTGATAATTTAAATAATTGGTGCAGTTGACAGAAAGGTAATGGTTATATCAGCCTGCCATGAGGTTAAACTAATTTTAAGCCAAATTTGAAGAAAAATGCCGTCATTTTATTTCATTTTGTTGAACTTCAGCAACTTCAGTGTGTGTAGACAGGAGTGAACCCTCAAATATCCACAAAACCTAACTCATATATACAATATTATTGCTATTTATTAAAGAAACATGAGGTAAATGCTGCAGTATAACAAACCCTTTATTCTCTTATCTAAAAGGCTGCCTTTACTTCTATATTAAAGAAAGTAAAATAGTAGAAACACCCAGGGCTCCAAAGATGACGTTAATATGGTGAGTCCAAATCAAAGTATAAATTTTTCTGCGCGTGCAGGATACATAAGATCTTGGCAGGCAGTTGTCTGTTTCATTGTATGGTTTTTGCCCCCTTCCCTGCCACAATACTGAAGCAGTCTGAACAGATTAAAGTGTTACATGGGATCATATCACAAAATACAGCCTCCTTGCTCCATGAATATAATATCTACAAATGTCAGAAATCAAGAGGCTCAGGAGACTTAGCTGGGCTCTGACAGCAACAAGAGCTCAGCTTCAGTTAAGTATCAATCAAAATTGAGCATGTTTGTGTGTGTGTGTGTGTTGTGTGCACAAAGTATCATGAGCCACTGTATGCAAAGCAAGACTGAGCGCCTTGAGCTTGTCCTCTGTCAGTCTCCTCCATAGCTTAACTGAGGAAAAGAGAGATGTCAGTGGGTGGAAAGGAGAAACCCACGTAAATGATACTGTAAAGGCAAGATTACACAGTGTGAAAAATGTAAATCCACTAAAGGCAACTGGCCGATTACTGCTGAAGATTACGTCTCCTAATTCTTAGTGCAAACAGACAGCAGATGCCAGTGGGGGATAAAGCTGCCACTTTGGAGCATCCTTTTTGTTTGGCCATGTCAGTGCAACTTTAGTTTAATCCACAATATCTTCATTTGTTTTGAACAGCAATCAAATGCACAACAAACCTCATGTAATAATGACTGGTAATGACTAGCAAACACTTTGATTTTGTCCTGTGCAGATGTTTTCGATCCAAAAGTGGTGTTTTACAGTTTGAATAGGACCTGTGATATTCTAGACTATGTGGTCAGTGCTAGACTGGATTTGGATTCATGCCAAAGTGCCATGCTGAACAAACCTCCTCTGGGGGTGGTCTACACAGTGCACAGAAGGATTGAACTTGTGAGGCGATCTACAGCTGGGTGCTACAGAGCTCTCGCACAAGGCATTTTTTGAGGTGGTGCCGAGACACCAAACACCACACCCATGTCATGAAAGCATGCTGGGGAATGATGAACAAGCAAGAAATGTAATGTTTTGTCAAAATCTATGTCATCATTCATTAGAGACTCAAAACCACATAGCAACACTTGTACTTGGCAAACACATGAACACACTTTTGCCATTTAATGTACTGCAATAACTAACAACTGGGCCTGATCCCTAAATTTTTCATGGCTGCAGACAATAAATTTTCAGTATCGGTGATAAAACACAATTCCTGCTTAATAGAAAGCTAGCTGTCTGTATTATGTGTAACAACAACAAACTGTCCATTCAAGAAAATCCTTTATTAACCAGAGTTGGCTCAAGACCTTCTTATTTTCCACATTAAATGTGTCTGGCTTCATGACAACCATAAAGAATGTCCGTGAACCAGCCTCCTAGAACCTGGCAAAATTTATTAGTCCCATCACCCATCAATCACCCAAATGGATCTCAAACTGCATTTTAATTTTCAAGCACTGATAACCTGTAGGAAACAGGAGCGCCATTATTTATGGATGCTTTCAGACTTGCTAAGTGCAGTAGGATAACTGTGTAAGAGGACTATTGTCTATTGTCTTCCCTTTAAAATAGATATTTAAAGCACATCTTTCCTCAAGGAGCCAGTGTTGGGAATTTTTTTGAGGTGCCAGATCGAACACCGCAGTCTACGGGGAGTTTGTTTTGTTTGTAAAAGAAATGAGAAATCTAACAGGCATAATTCAAAATAAGACGGGAACGAAAAGAAAAAGAAAAGAATGATAACAGTTTTAATAGAAACTATAACATCATTCAAGAAAAAAGAAATACTTCGACACATCGTTCAAGAAAAGAGAGATACTTCGACAGCTGACAAGTGAGGGCTGATATAGTCTTAGTGCTACAGCAAAGACCCTCTGTCGCTTCCTCATATAGGTGCTTGAGAAAAAAGTTGTACTTCAGCCTTTGCGAGGAAAACCCATGCTTTTACTAGGTTCAAGATGCTTCTTTGAAGCCTGTATTGTCTATCACTGAAAAAATACTGTCCTACCCTCAGCCCACATAAATGAAATGCCAATAAAAAACACAAGTTGTAGATCGGCTTTCTGACAATGCTCCCTACTCACTGAAATTCATGCAATTGCCTTGTAATTTCATATTTGAAAACTAGAAGTTCCACTTCACGGTTGTATGCCTCTGCCAACCAGTCAAATTCACAAGTATGACACAGAAGTGAGGTCACAGATCTTTGACCACCAAAATCTAATCAGTTCATCTTTGAGCCCAGTGGAAACTCCCTCAAAATGTTTCTGTGATATCACTTTCATAAAAATCGTACAGACGTACATATGGAAGGAGGATAACCTGAAAACATGCCTCCAGCCGTGGCTGTTGCCGGTGCAGAGGCTTAATGAAATAAAACCCCCACAATTAAGATAGAATCACTGTAATATAACTGATTACAGGAATCTGCTGTCCAAAACAATAATTAACTTCATCTTTTTTAAGTTACTTAAACTAGAATGGCCCATTCAAACATGCACCGCTGGATTTCAGACGGATGAGGATCTCATGGTAAAAGCTGTCTATTTTATTCTATTTATGCTGAGAAGAGATTTGTGTGAGGCCGTCGAGAGGAAGGGCAGGGACATGCTGATTCAATAAAACACCATTATACTCTTTTTAAATGCAGCCATTGGTGACATCAGTAGAGGGTAATTATAATAAATACCAGTAATCAGTGACAATTCTATTCAAAGGCGCAGTGACTGGTTTCCATCACACACACACTCAGACACAGAACATGTCAGTTTTTAATGTGACTCTAAGGACAAGCAGCCTTTTCTTTAGTTTCTTGTTGTCTTAACAGGGTCTGACTATGAGTTACAAGGTCCATGCATGAAGATTTTGAATTATGCCTGCAGCGTCTTAAAAGCAGTGATAAAAAAGTGGACTAAAAACTTGATTAACCAAAACAAAATGCATTGTTCACTGGTAAACAACCTAACATATACCAGCCCAAACAGAATTATTGAGAAAATTCTTGTACCATATGCCATTAAAATGATAACCAGATATGGAGAGCTAAAAAAACAGGGATTTCTAAAGTCATGAAAACCATAAGGCAGCCAGCAGACACTAAAAGCCAATGTGAGAAAATGTGAAAATATTATCTGTCAACCACTTTATTTTTTGGTAAGTATTTTTACACCACATTCTTCTAGGTATGTGCATCATAAAGTGGTGACTGTCAACCATATGGTGATGAGCAATTCTCACTGCTTTCAAAGTAACCTACAAACTATGAAAAGAATACACAGCGATTTCCTCTATAAAAATACATCAAGTTTGATGTGTCTTTTCAATGTCAAGTGTTAAGTGACTGCATGGCTAACATCATGATCAGATTACCACACAGTGCCACAAATAGTACACAAGACTTTCTGCTATTTATTTTCACCATTTCTTAACATCACTACACTCAACACTGTTGCAAGCATAAGGATACCAAGCTAAGATCCAAATGCTACAACTAATTGGATACGACTTTTCTTTTGTAGACAGAGAAACAGATAATATACACAATGAGAAATGGGTATGGGACAAAGACAAAGGGGGAAAAAAACACACCAGAAACAAGATTAACTCCAGGTCATGTGGTGTAATAAAGACAGACATACGCAATCAGACGAAGGACGAGGAGCCACACTGTACTGCAGGTGAACTCCCCTGGATCAACAGTTTTGTGGATCCCCATCTTTCATCGGAAATGGGGCACAGTGAGGCGATGCCCAGCTCAATTTCAACACCCAGTGAAATTGATGATTGTGTGAATGGGCCTTTTTCCAGAGATAATTAGCACAGTGTGCAAGGTTAAAAGTGCCCCAAGGGAACAGAGCCTGGTCTAGGTCAAGAGCAAGTAGAGAGAATATTAGCTTGCAAGAACAAAAAGGCATCATGTTTTACTGAAAACACAGTCAAAGACTGGACATTATCTACCTGTAAATGGGGTTGCATTGTGTGGAACCCTTTCTAGAACGTGGACTAAAGAAGGCAGAACAGAAACCTCTCAAGTCTTAAAAAAAAAAAAAAAAAACGGGCACTTACTGTAGAGGAACATTTATTTTATAAATGATTTCTAGGCTTACACACCTTCTACTATAATATACTTTCTCACTAATTTTACACAGAAGCAAGTCTTTAACCAAATACATTGATCACAGAATGTTAGCATTTATACAGAAAGCCAAGAAGAAGGTATAACAACAAAAACAATATTTTTTTAACTAGTTCTGGTAAACTGCCAGAGTGATTTTTGTTTATACTATCAGGCCAGAGACCTTGGCCTTTCCTTCCTGCCTCAGAAGGGTCATCAGACCTCAAACCCTCTGAGGCTATAAAGCCCTCTGAAGGTGTGGCCCCCCCCTTGTGCTTGTGGACTTCTATTAGAATTGATAACCCTTTCAGGCGAAACCAAATAGTCAGAGCACATCGTGAGCAAAAAGGTTCATTCCATCACAAAGTTATTATCCACGGGCAGATTGTTACCATTCATCACGTGTGAGAGATGAAACTCACTCTTAGTCAAGGGAAACGGTTGTTTCACTGCCTCGCCACAGATCAATATATGCCGCCATTTTCCTTTCTCTCCTCTGCTACAAAAAAGTAATTATACAAAAGAAATGTTGACAATCAATAGACTAGTCAGGTAAGGTTAAGGTCTGCTGTGGGAGCCAGCTGTCACTGATGATGTTGATGTGAACATGGACGTCCGGATGGGAACAAAGGGAGGTTTACCTCCTTCAGCTCCTTCTACATTTCTGTTTGGCTGGTGTGTCAAAACAATTAGTACCTGAGGAGTGCTGGCAAATGACTGGTAGACACGAAGGAGACTGACTAAAGTTAAAAAAGTGTGTAGGTTTGGGTATCTGTGTATGACTATCACCTACACATACAATAATGTTATTGTCTGTAGATGCAGTATGAAGAGTTTCTAGGATGCAAAAATCAGTTAAAGGATACCTCTACATTTTAAAAATATAGTAAATAATCACTTTTGACTAAAAAATAATAAGGTGGTTTGTAAACTTGCTGCTACTCTATGTAACTAACAGTATATTTTAAATGATGGGACGTGTGACAGACTTTTGTTGAGTGAAACAGCTGTTGCTTAATTTGCTCTTCAGAAGTTCCTTGCAGTGTGAGAGAGCTGCAGAATGAGAAAGAATTATAGTACTGTCACAGTAAGGTGGTGCTTTGCTACAAAAGTGGTGGACATTCTTTTTCAATAAATTCATCAGCCTTGCCTTGACACCTACTTTCACTTTAGATGAGCCTAAACTTTATAATCCACTGGCAGGGTCTGGAGGTCAACAGCAGAGGGGACCAGAGGGCAGAGAAAATCACTCTCTCCCTGGAACAAACTCTGACATCCAATTTTCAACTTGATTTATCAGTGTAAAGCTAAAATTGATAGTGTGTCATTACTGGGCAGGGAGCTGTCTTGGAGAGATGTATCAAAGCCTCCTCATTTTGATTTAGCACAGCAGATCAATACTACTCTATACTGTTTCAATTTGAGGTGTATTGATTTTCCTACGCTGACTCTATACAGGGGGACATTCATCATCAAGCAAGCATAGGGTCTGATCTGCTTATTCTTCACTGAGATTGCATGACTGCAGAGCAGCTGCTTTCAAGCCTTGCACAGATTATTTCCTTGTTGCCAGCTGTTGTTGTATGTGCTGCATAATTTCTTACACAGTTTGTTACAAAGAGCACAACAGCTCAAAACGGAGTGGTCGACACAGATAACGCGCAGATGTCTGTAATTCAGGAGAAATGGATGCATCTAATGATAGATCAAGTGGTTATATCTAAGGTATAATAGGTTCTGTCTCCTGCCTGCTTAAGAATAATTATATTTATGGTATATTCTCCACAGAAAATAAATATCCTTTGGCATGTCTCTGCGCACAACTTAAAGCAAAAAGCAAAAGTAATTTCTGTGTGTGGAAAAACAAACATTAACAACTATCTCTCTTTCTCTCTCACGCACACACGCATGCACGCACGCACATAACAGGCAGCTACCTCAAGATGCTTGAGGGCTTTATATTTTACAAGAGCAGCATAAATGGGAAAGTTAATGTAGCATTGAATAAGACTAAGCTGCTGAACTGCAACACTGCCTCAAGCTTGTGAGCATATTGCATCATTTTTCTTCACCAGCAGGTTACCATTAAATTTGAATTTGTTGGAAGTTTTGCGATATCATTTACAATGCACCCACGCTCAATAACCTTTTGTTTCAATGCAAATGCTATGCCTCTGAGAAGGGCTCCATAAATATTTGAACAAAAGCTCAGAATTCAATCCAACAGATTTTGTCATGGGTTGCTAAGGCTCAGTCAGTTTTATGAATATCTGTAGTGAGTACTGTAACCCTCTCAGGGACAGCCAAAATATTGCTGTAATTCTAAAAACAATGCTTGTACATGTTCCGTTTCTCTGTAGTAGTTCTGAAATTAATCACAAGAAATGAATGAACACAAAATGATGCAAGTCATATGATGAAGTAGCACAGTGCATTGTTTTCCAAGAAACCATAAAAAAAATGTAGCTGCTTATAACATCTGCTATTTTGAATGAAAATAAATAAGAAATAAAAGGTAATTATTAACAAAACCAAAATTACTGTTTGAGCAAAAAGGCTAAATTTGGTTTGGCAAATCAGTGCTGGTGGGTTGTATACACATTTTCCTCAAGTGCTTGGTCTTATAGATGACAGCTGACAGCAACGTTAACAAAGGATGTTTGGATGAAGATCTATTCTTTTACTGTAAATTTCTGCATCTGACCTACATCAAGTTAGAGTAATTATTTTTTTTTACATAAATTACTCTTAAAACAAACCCCACTATTGCTTCACTTGTAAGTGGCAACTGATTGATGCTTTGGTCTTTATAACAACTGCATATGCATCCGTAACAAAAGATGAATGGTCAAATTGTCCATTCTTACAACAGATTGTTGTAATACTTCTGTTAGTCTGATATAACTAACTTCCACTCTATTTCTGTGGGACCATGTCAGTGAAGGCAAGAGGTGGAAAGTAAAGCAGGAGAGCCAGAGGTTATTTTAACAGGGCCCACGGGGAAGTCTGCAACTACCACCAGGTGCTGGGCTGTGTTACTGAGAGGGTCAATGAATGCCTGGACAACACTGCAGAAACACTCCAACCCCCTTCTTCCACCCCAGTATGTCGGATGACTAGCCAATCAGCTGCCTCCAGGGGATTAAGCCACTTCACACTGTAATTGCGTTTGCTGACCCGATCACTGACCCTAACGGATCCTGGGAAAATTACATTAACTGGTGGTCCAGTCCTATCACTGCAGAGTTTTGTGACCAGGTAACTTTTGTCTGCGAGGTTGGACCTAACATGGAGCAGCTACGGCTCATGTTCAAGACTTAACGTGGCCCGTGTTGGTCCGAACAGGTTCTTTATATGTCCCAGTGTAAGGGCTTACCTCTGGGCCAGTGTCCCCCAGGCACCATGCTTGTTGGTGAGGATGTTGACAATCTTCTGCTTTAATTGGTTTGCTGTCACATGGTCTCTGTGTTTAGCAGCACTGATCAGGTGGTCACACATCTTCTCTTCTTCTCTTCTGTCAGCAGCATATTGGGCGCAGTTGGACTAATTTGAGATTTTTAAAAAAGGAGAAAAAAACCCAATGTGAGCCTCATTATATATTTATGACTTTAGGTACAGTATGTACTGCCAAATGTGATGTCTAACACTATAATAATAGCATTTGAGAACGTTTTAGTTGAATAAAGCCAGAATAATGTACACCCTCTAATGGAGCATTTGTCACACTGTAGAATGTTATGGCTTTATTCAACACACTTCAGTGCATAAAGATATTAGTGGACAGCTGAAAGATGTATTTCTGCACCCTTGGAGGAATGTAGTAAATCACGGCGAGCACATGACGGTGTCCCATTCCCTAACTGTGGACAGATGAGGCTCTCTGCTACGTAGCAAAAGATGGGACCATTAGAGGACAGGGGAAATGCTCTAATAGATCCACACAGAATATACAGTATTCTATCAAGGTTTACAAAGCTACAATGCAGTCATATCTTATTGTCACCGGATAAAGGAACGGTATAAAATGTAAATAAACAGCCATTTTACAAAATGAGAACACTGTGCATTCTGTAACTTCCAAAGTACCAATGGTACAATAATCCAAATAAAGTTTTATTAAATACTGAGGAATATCTAAGTGCCAGGATGATAAAAAAAAAAAATAACTTACTTAAAAATTAATTCCCCAAAATGTGAAAAAATACCATATTGGTGTTAAATCAGTTTCCAGATGTCAGAACAACTCTCCAGTGTTCCAGGTGGCTAAAATAATCTAGAGGAGCAAATTTGACTCCATCTTTGCTGCTAAAACAAGATTGTCTTACTGTGCCACCCTGGGGGAACTCTTGCTAATATTCAAAATCTAATTTGCTAACAGAAGCTGGAAGTTAATTGAATTTCCTGCTTCAAATTTGAATTCTGTCAGATACTATACTTCAACATATTCTTCATAAGGCAGATAACTCAATCTCTGCTTGTCACCCCACATTACCACGTGGTAGTGTGACAAATATCAAATGTTATTTATCACTTTAAAGCATATGACGCTTCACCCTGACACCAACTTAATTGTAAAAATGTCTTATCTGCGTTCTGAATCTTCAATCTTGGAGAGTGGGTAATAAAGTACCGTCAGACCTAGATGAAAAGTGCATGCTGTCGCGAGTTGGCAGACAGAACGGATGGGGCCAGGTACACTTCCCCCTTCTCCTGACATTGCATATCTAGCCGTCTCTTCCAGTTTATCTAGCAGGTCAAGGATCCTCTAGAACTGTATATCAAGCAGCTGTTTGAGGATGGCTGCTTTTCCAAGATAAGAAACTCATCACTCCTCACATGTACAAGCTGCTAACAGAGGTGGCAGAAGTGTGTGTTTGTATGATCACGCACACACATCCAAACGCACACCCGTACGTCTTCTGATGCTCTACAACTACCAAAAACTAGTTTAATACGTTAAGATTTCTTCCTATTTAAATACCACAAATACTCGTGCTTGCCCTGAAAAATGCAAGAGCCATTATTTTTCTTTAGATATCTATACAAACATGTAGAAGAAAATAAAAAGCTTAATACTCACAATAGCAAAAATAAATTTAATTAAAAAAAATCAATGTTCATGCATTGCTTAAACCTTGTTAGCTTTTCCTTTCATGTCTGAAGCAGCAATGGTTTGATGTGGGTGGACTTGATACAAACTCAGAGGTTATCCCCAGAGTTGGTCCACAAAGGCTCATGTCAAAATCCTAAATTAATATTGCTGGCATATCCCTTTGCTACCACTAATGAAATTTCTTTATAAGAACTGTAGGAGTGAGGAATAAATACCCATGAGTACACGATTACTGAGCAGTTCAATGGCTCTTTGCTACTAACGGGATTTGTTTTGAGATGATTACACTGGAAAATAATGGAGAAAAAAAAAAGATTAATCACATTAGATGGCAAAATTTGAAGATGGAGAACCAGTGATGTGCATTAGTCCTGTTCACTGTTGAACATATACCTTTGACTCTGTACCCAACTTTACCAATCATTTCGTACCTTTGTACAATATTTTATCAATACTTTGCCTCTGTACCCAACTTTACCAATCATTTCAAGAGAAACAAAGGATGGCACATGCTATACCTCAAACTCTGCATGTTTGTGGACGTCCTCCGCTCTCTGTCTGTTCAGGATGAATTCAGCCTCATTAGCAACCCGAACTATGTGGTCCTTCATGGCATGGCAGAGCAACCTTTAACAGTGCAGAGAAAGCTAAATGCAGCAGACTTTACATTTTCATATACATACTTTCATTAGCTAAAATTAGCTGTTGTAATGAAGATCCTAAAAATAAGCAGGGGTGTTGTAAATACAGCTTGTCAGGGTGGTGCCACATTCTGCATGTTAAATGAGAAAACTAGTAAACAGCATCATTTGTCTGTGTTATGTTGCAATGCTGAAGGTCAGTGACATATCCCTCTGTAGCATTAAAGATGGAATGGAGCGTAATTAGAGCGTTGAAGCCTGTCTGACACACTGCTGGTTGACTGAGCATCCCTTCCCACTGACCAGAACATCAACATAGCACCTTTTTTTTACTGAGTCTGGTCATGCACAACTTCTCACATTCAGATTTAAATTCCAATATCTTTAATAATTGAAAACACCCTGGCTATTGTGTGTAGATTACATGTCATTTTACACACCATTAGGCTAGCTTTGTTTTAATTAAAGAAGCCCCTGTTCCCCTCTAGTGCTTGATACAGATTGTAATTTTCCTCCTGTCCCAAAGAGAGGCAATCATCCTGAAGCTGCATTCATCAGCTGCGACTGCCTCTTTAACTGTTGACAAGCACTCATTAAAAGACAGACGTTCACTGTTCAAAGAAAGACGCTGATGATGCCAAGCTTTGTTTTGTAACCAAGAATAGATGAGAAAGCAAGCTGACAAGTTGTATTTGAGGATGGAAAAAAAGGTATGCATGCTCTCTATCACACTTCTGTGTTAATATTCCATATTTAGGAAACAATCAACAGTACAAGTTTTCACACTGGAAATGGAATAGACTGCTACTGGACCATCCCAGCTGAAAAGTCTAATGAAAGTTTAATGTTAAACTGTAAATTTACTGTGTTCATCTGTTAACAGAGTGTGTTTAAGATGAGTTTATGCAGAGTTCCTCAAAGCACCATTTATTATGCCTTTATCTTAAAAGTAAACATCGTGACATCTGTAGCTGATACTTTTGAGGCGTAAAGACACCGTCTTAACGGAGCTGTATGGTGAAAATAATACCACAGCATGTATTTGTCTGTACTGTATCAGCATGGAAACCAGGGGCAGTCCTCTTACATGGATGATGGATTACAAAGTCGTACTAGAGAGAAGCAGTGGTAATAGTAAAGTGCTCCCTTTACTTTTGAGTAACTACAGAGCATTAATCATGGCATTTTTAATGTGTTTGATACTGGCATCATGAAACAGAGGGACAACCTAACCACTGTTTGTGTTGTTGCACATAAAGCTGATATAACGTCTGTGTCAGCCATGCCTTGTAAAGCCAACAAATTTACCAGACTCTGGCTACCCCTAGGTCTGTCTAGTTACAGTAAGTAGAGCAGGTGTGCAGAGACTTGAGTAAGACTGGGAAATTATATATCTGTCAGCAGAACCCTGGACAGCGCCGTGTGGCCCTACTGACTGAAGTTCTTTGTTCGGGGGCCAGCAGGGGACTCAGAGGAGCCTGGCTAGGCTGAGGCAAGAGCCTGGGCATAGAGAAGGCTTGGCCAGATGGGTCAGCATATGGGCAAAGAGGATGAGCTGTCCCTGATCTGCTCTATAGAAAACCCTAAACTGGCCCTGGCCACACCCAGAGAGGAGAGGAAGAGGAAGGGAGACAAAACACAAAACGGAGACACTGATATATACAGCAGGCCGAGACAGGTTAGTAAGACATTTGGCTGACTGTGCTCTAGTGTTGATATTCTTACTTCATCCAGTCACCACAATCTTATTTACCCTGACCCCCAATAGAGCAGTCAACAGGGGCAAGAGGTTTAGAGCTAATCTACAGTACACCCGTCCATTTAGTCCAAAATAAATTACCTTCCTTCGTTGATTAGCTCGATGAAGGCCAGTCCAGCGTTCTTCTGAATGGAGTTCTGCCACTCCTGAAACAAAAAAGTTTGCCATCTGTAACTATGAAAAAGCACAATATACTTTAATTACGTCCAGACATTAGATGTGGAGTCAAGATTTTAAAAAAAAAGAAATATCATGTCAATATGGCCAGTTTACCCCCTCCCTGACCAAAAACAGACAAAAGAGACAAAAAAAAGCAGTAAAGCTAAAAGTTAACATTCAAAAACGCTGTTTACTCAGCGAAGCACACCGCAAGTATCAAAATACTCCTTGATCCAATATGCAAAAAGGTCTTTCAGAAATGCATGAACAAAAAATAAATAAATAAATCACCATCTAAATTGCATATTGCAACTGTATTGTAGATTACATTTCATAGCTTGTAATTCAAGTTGGTAACAAAATGCATTTAGATCATTCTTTGAGAAAATGTTATGGCTATGAAAAGCTGGAATTCTGCACCACATGTGTGACAATCCTTTCTTCCCCTGTGAAACATCTGTAAACACAGGAGAGACGTAATTGTGGGATGAAACTGTATCCTCTCACTTAAATACAGCCATTTCCTCTGTCCCTTACAGTGACAGATTACTGAGCAGGCTCACTGAGCCCTGCAGTGTGCGCCTGGAAGGGATCCGAGCTGTGGGCTAGAGTGCCAGCACTTGCTGTCTCACAACATGCTCTGGAAATGATTAAAAGGCAGTTTGAGAGCACGCCTTTCACTGTGGGAAATTCAGCTTTCCGGTACCTTCACTGAGGTGCAAATGGAAGAGAAAGAGGACACAGCTCAAAAGGGGGGGAAAACAGAACAAAATGAAAGGAAAAGGTTTCATACTACTTATGTATGCAACTCAAGGCTGCTCACAATCATTAGGAACCTTAGAACGCGACTATTCATTTTAAATGTGCAGTCAATAAATGTTATTTGCAAAATGAATTAATATATGGGGCTATATAATCTGTCATCATACATGCAAAACAGTGGTATACACTACTTGTTTAATGCCAATGCTTAGACAAAGTAAGTAGCATTTTCTGTGTACAATACTAGAATAACTGACATTGACATTATAATGTATGGGCATGTGTTTTTGTACACACTTGTCTTGCTTGACACATACCGGTTCACGCAAGAATACACAGTCTAACCCTACGATGCGTTAAGTCAGCGAGATGGTGCTGACAAACTGCTGAGCATCTGGTCTCCAAATGTTCCCTGTGACCCCCTTCCTCTGCTACAGTATCTGCCTCGAATAAGCTGTTTTTGATTTGGACAGGGATCAAGTACAGCCAGTCTTCTGAGGTTCCACTTGCACCATGCTCACGTGACAAAAATAAATACGGAAATCAAGGCAGATGTGACACTTGGGTAAGGTCAGGAAAATGGCAGCAGGTCAGTGGAGGTACAGCGTGAACTAGTCAAATTTGCTATCTTGTCTGAAGTATGGCTGTTGACAGCTCAAATAGCACTTCAGAGGCTCTCTTTTTTCATGTCTGGTTTACTGGAGAACAGAGCTCCCACAAGAGGCTGCTTTTGATTGCAAATATTAAAAAAAAAATCCTCTGCTGCCCATTTGAAGGGAATTAAACCTGATGTGCATCTCCTTGGAAAAAAACAAAAAAGATGCGATCCTTGATGTAAATGCAGACCATGACCCAAGTGCAGCAGTTCTGGCCATTGGAAATGTGTTCATGTGTTTGAATATGATATGATGGGATATAAAGCTGCACTGAGTTTTTGGCCTTTTGGGGACAGAAGCACCAAAACGAACCGAAAAGTAGCCTTGAGATACTGTCACCCCATATTGTTATGACTAACTTGTAAGCCAACAGTTGCCTACTTACATATCCAGCAGGCATGGCCAACACTACCATTGCTGGTAGTGGATATGTTTCAGGTGACTTGACAAAAGTCCTTCAACAAGATGCTTTTTTTTGCTGAACACATCTGCCTGCTACAGCTGGAAACAATGCTAATGAGAGCACTGAAGCTGAAAAATACAGTACGCGTGTGTAAGAAACCACACAAAGTGGCTAAGAAAAAAAACTCCACAATGGTTAAGAGCTGGTGAAATCTTCAACACAGTCACTGATCATGCTGTAGGTTCACTTGGTGCAATGGTACCATTCTTCCATCTATCTTTTAAAACCCCACCACCTTTTTCTGGACCTCAAATCCTTCAACTCTGATTCCAGAGAACAGTTTGCTGGCCTTGAGAAGATTTTCACTCCTCCCACTTTCATCTTCTTGAAATTTAGCAGGGCAGCAGTATTTGCGGTGTCTCAATCCAACCTGTCAGTGTGAGGGAGCCTTTGCTTTTATCTACTCTGCTTTGCTCTGTTATAGTCTCCACATCTGGAGGCCTTCAATCACTAAATCTCTGTGGCTCCATCCTAGATCCCCCCCCCCCCTTTTTTTTAGCTGTTTAAAAAAAAAGAGGTGCTTTCCCCCCCCCCTTATGTTTAAGCTGTTACAAGAAACAGAGCTGCTTGACCTTTTCATTCAGCTGTCCAAGCTGAGGAGCAACACACAGTGTCTGCAGGCGTGGCTGGCTACACGATGATCGCTGTGATTAGTATGCATAAATAAGAAAAGGCACTAATTTATTCATAGAACTGACAAGTCACAAAACAGAGAGGGTCTAAAGGTCAGCTAAGTGCCCTCCTTGCTGTCTTAAAACATTAATGTTGAACTATGTGAAGGATACGTTGCGTTGGCATTTTATAGTGATGTCAGCCATAACCCGCCATTCATTTAACAAGACGTGTTGTGCTTTATATGTGATATTACGTGGTACCAAATATATTGGTACCAAATATTATATTTTATCAAGATAAAAAGCTCTGTAGAGATCAGCTTTATCACCAAAAAGAAGTAGCATCAAAGACACTGATTAAACATTATTCACCATCACAGTACCAATTTTTAAAATCATATCAGCTGGAAACATAACAGGATTCATTACTGAATGTGCAGTATTAGGATATAAAGCAATGGCTCATCTCTTTTAGTAACAGGACACCAAACCCTATGGTCCATTTTTAAGGTCTCACTCTCTGATCGATATCTCAGCCTGGGTTTCATCCCTAGAGCCCCTAATGGCAGGAACCTCTGGAGCTGAAGTAATGGTATCTGTGTAAAGGGGGGATGGACTCTTAACAGCATGCTGATGCTCTCATCTACAATAAATCCTAGAACTGGGAAAAGCAACTGCTCCACAGTCAAGCAACGCAAAAAGAAGCAAGTCAAAAACCTTCAAAAGAGCAACAATAACTCAATGCTGGCTCTGCCATTTATGTTTTTGTTTTTTTTTTCTTTGAGGAAAGCCCCTGAATAATGGCCTCCATATAACAGAGGCTAAACTCCCTGCTGAAGAAAGCTTTGGACTGCAGATACCATGGAGCCCACAGAGTGACAATTCACCTCCTCAAGGCTCTGGCCCTGCTGTCTGGATTCACAGAGAGGCACCAAGTAATGGCTTCCTTATGGGCTCCCGACAGAAGACTGATGGGCTGACAGAAGGTATGTTAAATATCTCCTGTTCTAACTGCTACATCAGGGCTTTGACCGTCTTTAAAACAAGGGCTTAACAAGAGTTTCAGAGGGTCATGCTTAGAGGTGATCAGTCACTAACAGCATTACGTAAGGTGGGACTCATTCGCTAAAGGAAGCCTGGGGATTAAAGCTCTGGGGTGTAGTGACGAAGTCACTGGATTCTCAGAGACCTATAGGAGGCTGCATGTTGTCACACTAGGTTTGGACGATTCATTCACAGAACATTTTACAAAAACAATACTCTAATAAGCAAAGCAACCAGCAGAAACTAAACAACTTAAGATATTAGACAGCGCCCTTATAAATTAACCATGGATTGATCATACATGTATACATTTGCAAAACATCTGCAGTTTTGACAAGATAAAGACTCCATCCATTTGTATATCTTGAAAAAAGTTCACTAGACGTGAATGAAATGGATGACTGCACTGACCATATCCAATTTTTCAGATTTTGAAATGTATTCATTTCTATTTAACGAGAGGTGAAACCACCTCCCAAATGATCTCCACATACTGTTGACAGAAAATATGTTATTAATAGATGCATAAGAGAGAAAGGCATACTACACAAGGAAAAACAGAGAGAGTGGGGAAAAGGCTTGTGAAGAGGAAGAGAAAGAAAACTCACCTGAGAACAAAGTAGCATGACAAGCTCCACCACTGAGGTGCTTGACTTCATACATACTAGACCTGTGGGGGACAAAGCAGATGGACAGAACAGTGTTGGTCTTTGGTTCTTGTTACCATTGCTAACTCTGAGAGACGAGACAGTCCAAGTAACTTCAAAACAGGGCTGATTTATTCAAAGGATCACAAGTAAAATTAACATTACACGCTCAGGCATCTTGCACCTCCAAACTGCACGCAGGCAGATGAAAGACCCTGAACCAAACCAGGCCTATACATTATATCCCTTCGGTTGGGCTAGCCCCATACTACACAGAAACGTCAACCGAGACGTCTCTGGTGCCAGCTTTGCAGCTGGTCATAGCAGTAGTCAAAACATGAAGCAAATCAATGTGTGTGTGTCTGTTGATTAAGTGGTGTGTAGCTAAAAACATTCTCACAGACTTCTAGTAACATGTCGTGACTTAAACATAAGAACATATTATGGCTAAGGCTACAGTTATACACGTCATAATAATAATATTAAACACCCTGTCTGCTGACAGTCATCAACTCTTCTCTCTAGTTATCCTTGACCAGATGTACCCTGTAGAAACTCATAAGCATGACTAAGCATTTAACAGTCTAACTAGACATCCTATCTTCACTAAACATTTCTAATACATAAAGTATCTAACCAATATCTATCTGACTAAAAATACCTAACAACAGATATTAACCATGAAGGCTGGTAGACATAGTGAGTACTCGGCACAGAATATCTGTGGATATAACCTGTAGTTATTTTATCATACTTACAGTATAGAGTGCACCACAGACATACAGCATTGCATCTGAACAAAACTACTGTATAATATACCTGGCAAACCTGCAAGTCCCCTAATCGGCACTCACAATTAGCTTGTCATGAAATTGTAAAAATCACTCAATCATAAACTTATGTTTATGCCACGTATGTTAAATATAAGAAATGTGACTCCAGCTCAATGGCACTGATGTGCACCAAATAAAACAGAAAAAAAAAGTTAAAAAAACAACCATCTACTTCTAAATAAGTTAAAAAATTAGCTATTTTATGTACAGCTGTTACATATATAAGTTATTGCACTATGGTGTATCTTTTTATACATAAAAACATGCATTAAATGTTTATCAGAGTGATGGCCCGGGGGGATAAACTGTCCTTGTATGTGGTTGTTTTGGTGTACAGTGACCTGTAGCACCATCCAGAGGGAAGGAATTCAAACAGTTTGTGTCCAGGATGTGAGTTGTCTGCACAAATCTTCTCCTTTTAACCTGTGAGATGTACAGGTCTGCCACAGAAAAAAGGCTGGCACTGATGATCTTTTCTGAAGTCCAGACTGTCCACTGGAGTCTGTTCCTGTCCTGTTTGGTTGCTGAGCCAAACCAGACAGTAATGCAAGTTCAGAGATTGGACTCAGTGATTCCTCTGTAGAACTGAATCAGCGGTTCCTGGGGCAGGTTGAACTTCCTGAGCTGATGCAGGAAGTATGTCCTCTGAGTTCTTGGTGATGGTGCTGATGTTGGACATCCACCTCAGGTCCTGGGAGACAATGGAGACCAGGAACTTGAAGGACTCTACCACTGATATGGTGCTTCTGAGTATGGTGAGGGGGAGAAGGGTTGGGGGGTGCTCTTCCTAAAGTCCATTGTCATTTCCACTGTTTTCAGTGTATTCAGCTCCAGGTGGTTGCGACTGCACAACAGGGCCAGCTGTTCAACTTCCTGTTTGTGAGCTGACCCATCATCATCTTGGATGAGAATGATGACTGTTGTGTCATCTGCAAACTTCAGGATCTTTACAGTGAGGTTAGGTATTAGGGTGCAGTCGCTGGTGTAGAGGGAAAACAGCACATCCCTGGTGGGCGCCTTTGCTGATTGTCTGGGTGCTGGACGTGATTCTCCCCAGCCTCATCTGCTGCTTCCTGCCTGTCAGAAAGCTGGTGATCCACTGACAGGTGGGGGCAGGCATAGTAAGCTAGGTCAGTTTGGAGTGGAGGATGATGGTGTTGACTGGCGAGCTGAAGTCCACAAAGACGGCCGGTGCATAGGTCCCTGGGGAGTCGAGGATGTAATGCGGTGCCATGTTGCCTGCATCATCCACTGACCGAACTGCCTGGGAGGCAAACTGCAGGGGGTGGAGTAGCTGAAGCAGGATGAGACTTCACAAAGCTCCAGTGATCTATTGAAGATCTGTGTGAAGATGGGGGCCAGCTGATCAGGACAGGTTTTTGGGCCGGAGGGGGTCACACCGTCTGGGCCTGGTGTCTCTGTTCTTTTGATTTTTAAAAAAACTACGCACATGCTTTTCACAGATATTCAGAGGTGGGGTTGGGTGGGGGGAGCAGCTGCTGGGTCTGAGGTGAGGTGGGTGAGGGGTGTGGAGTTCTGCTTCTCAAACCTGCAGTAAAACACATTCAGTTCATCTGCCAAATGATGGTTCTCCACAGCAGTGGGGGATGGTTTCCTGTAACCGGTGATGTTCTGTAGGTTCCACCACACTGACGACAGGTCGTTAGCCAAACACTGATTTTTTTTCAGCCTTTTAGAGTAGCTCCTCTATGCATAATAATAATATGCATCTACACAGAATAGGTGGGTGTAGAACAGATGCACACATACAGTACATATGTGAATACCCCCCTAAACACACATGCACACACCTTCACACATGCATACACACTCACAGAGGTGAACATAGGCATTGACAGCTTCTTCCCTCATCTCCATTCTGCAGACAGTGAGCCACATAAGCAGACAACTCTCTAATGAAACAAGGGCAGGTGTGAAAAGCTCATTTGCAGAAACAATGGCTGCAACTTGTGTTGTATTCTGCACCTCCAGCTCCTTCTGTTGCACTTGGCAAGAACTATTAAAAAGGTAGAGTCATTAGTGAAGGGACAAAGGCAGCCCTCTAGGACTCATTATAGGGGGGCAGAAGTAGAACTCTGAGCCTCACAGCTGCCATTGTCTCATAGAGACATTGTGTCAATCAGAGGCAAGCACAAAATATTCTTAATCCAAATTTTTAAGTAGCATGTTTTTAGAAGAAAAACATGAGTTGTGCACTTTACAGCACAGCATCTATAATATAATACAATAGTATACATCCTTTGCTGTTAGCACAATATAATTTGTAACATTTTTAAACAATACCTTACTTTGCATGAAATTGCAGCTCCAGTATCAACATTCAAAACACAGGACTACAACCTGTGAGCCCATAATGACAGGTCTTTTAATACAGTGACCAACGGTGACAATAATTAAATATATTAAAAATCTAATAAAAAAAATTAAGATTAAATCCAAATGAATTAATATCAAGTTATTGTTTATAAACCCACATTTTCTGCACAAAATGAATATGTTCCCACAAAACATTCCTAACACAGGATGGATGTTTCTTGTGGCCGCTGTGTTTCCATCCGTCTCTATTCATGGGGGGAGAGTGTCCAGTGGAGTCAATTGTAAATACTCTGAGAGGATGTGACCCTTCTCTTGTACACAGAGTGTCATGGCTGACCTCTTGTTATAGCACTGACATACTGAGCCATAAGTCAGTCCAGTGTGACACAGGAATCAGGTAGCAAACTGACCCTGGCCTTGTGCTCGTAGACAAACTAAATACATTCTGTTTAAACATGGCCTGCCAGGCCTTTCCTGTAAACAGGGCAGGGTTAAGGCAAGGGTGAATGTGGCATTGTGGGGTAATGCGCCAGCAGGCTGGGCCACTCAAAGGACAGCAGGCATCACAACAGCAGCAGTGTTCACACACAGAGCTTGCCCACCAACTCCAAGTGTAAAGCTCAGAATGAATTCAACATAATTGCCACAATGACCACATGTCTGTGGGGGGGGTGAAGGAACAGGGTGAGGCAAAGGGGCACACGGGGCGCAGGAGGGCTCGACCCCAAGCAATCTAAGGAGTGATGGATGGCTGGTAATTACTGGTAAATGGAGCGCCTTTGCACTACAGCACAGTATCTCAACTGTGAGCCTGAAGAGGGTCAGGAAGAAAAGAAAGACAGGAAGAAACAGCAAAATCAGCTCAACCATTTGGACAAACACACTCACTGCATCTAGTACAGACTGGAGTGGCTCGATAAAGTTAAATATCTAAAGGTCATGAGTTAAATTTGGGCATCTGTTTTGTCTGATAAACCTGCTCTAATTCATGTCAGGTTGTACTTTTCACAGACCCAGACAGGGTTAAACATGTCTGGTGAGGAGTGCTGATGCCCAAGCTGTCTATCTATGACCTTGTTTGTGGGGTTACACTCTCAGCTCAGCACTGGTTTGTCAGCTTGGTCAGTCTGCTGACAGACTTTGAGTGAAAGGGTAACAGACATATTCACACTTGTCAAGGCTTTGCTACCTGATTTTTCATTTCTTTCCCCTGAGCTTTAGCGAGTAGCCGCAGCCGCAGCCACATGTGCATGACACACCCACAGGTCTACATACATATAATGGCATGGTGCATGCAAGATGTACAGAAGACAAACTGCCTGTTTGTGGAATGTTACTGGCTGGAATGGAAACATTTTAAGACGTAACAATTTATACTGTATGTTCATTGAACAAAATTCCTTAATAGTGATTAAGTCTGACATAACTGATGACTTTTAAAGCTTAAATTAAAACTAAGACAGCCTGATATCTTACACACACTGGCCACTTTATTAGGTACACTTGTACAACTGTATGCCCTTCAATGCAACACTTCCATTTTAACATTAGTATTTATGAAAATCAAAATATTTTAGTTTTTGGTGAAATCATAAGTATATAAATTCAACTATATGCTCATTACTGAAGTCATAGTTATGGTAAATGGTCTTATACTTGTATAGCGCCTTTCTATGCTTTTACAGCACACTCAAAGCGCTTTCACATTATTCGGCCATTCACCCATTCGCACTCCCAAGCACTCACACACCGGTGACATCACCAGGAGCAACTGCGGGTTCAGTGTCTTGCTCAAGGACACCTCGACATGTTGACTGGACAAGCCGGGAATCGAACCGCTAATCCTTTGGTTA